ACTACTATGGGCTTGCCAATACAGAGCTTTCAGAACTGCAGCTGAAGGTGACTGAATCCATGAGGGAAAGCTGATGAATGAACAAGTGTCCTTGTTAAGTCATCCTCAAGGTTTATTCATGAAGGCTGAGTTTGTTTGCTTTGTGAGCCACATATGTTCTCAGTCTTTCTTTTTAAGGCCTCACTGGGTCCATTCCTATTCAAGTATTTGCTTTACTTGACATCCACAGAGATGACGACAGCAGTTCTGTTTCCAGAACTGGTTTCTGTGTTTCTGATTGCATTGGCAATAAAGCCTTGAAGATATCTTGAAATACTGGAGTCATGACAGCAATTCCATTTTAACAGTTCCACAGAACAGAGTGAGGTGGAACTGTCAGTTTCTTTTTTCTGAGTTTTGGTTGATGATTTTGTATTTTTATTATTTTGCAGCATAGACGTGAACATGATTTTGGTTAGCTTGCACTTTACGGTTTCAATTTGAATTCATAAAACTGGCTGTAGTTTTGTGGAATGTTCTTTAGATGAGGGCCGAAGACTCTGCTGTGCAGTCCCAAATTTCGTTGACAGCAGCATTGAAGGCTCTGTTTGGTCAAGAATACTAATGCAGCCAACACTGAGTGGAGGTTGTCTGGGCATAAAAGACAGCTATTAGCATTACTAGTTTTAGAGGTTTGCTTTTGAGATTTAAAAAATGGTACTTCTGTAAGATAATCATCTTTAAAGTCTTTTAAGCTTTTCTACTTGTTCTGTCTTAAACCCCTGTCATAATAAGTAAAATAAATGACTACTTCTCAAAGCTCACTAGTAGTGGTGACAGTAGAACAACTTTTCAGATCAATAACAGATCCCTTTCTATTTCAACTTTGTTGAGGACCTTCTGTCCTGGACATTTTGGGAAATAGGGAATGTTATATAATTAAAAATAAACAGTGCTTTGCCAGATCATAGCCATGTAAGCTTTTCTACTGTTCTTGCCTGCAAGTATTCACAGTGGAATCGAGTGAAGAGCACAGTCTGTTTTTATTGTGTTTTTGAAAATTTCATTGCATGTACTTACATATATTTTTTTTTGTTCTGGTGTGCAGGTGATCTGACGGCTCTGGGTAATATTAATAGTCTACATAGTTTACTAGGAGCAGGGCCTTTGCTGCTGCCCCAGGCTCCCTCTCTGGGCATGCCACTGCCACAGAACCAGGCTGGCCTCAACCCGCTCACCTGCCTGCAGGTAAAGCATTTTTTTCCAAGTGCCAATAAGTTAACACTTCCTCTACAGAGGATGAACTTCTAGACGTTTTCTGCACAATTTCTGTTTATTTGCTTCATTTAACATACTGGGGGGGGAAACAATAGACATAAAATGTGGCCTGTGCAAAAGTTATGCCATGTTTATTTAATTTTTTTGTTTTTCCCCCATGTCAAACTCAGCAAATAAAAAAGAAATTGTGCACTAAAATTTGCAGAAAAATGCCATGGTCAAGTTCCCTGTAGAGGACATGTTTTGTTTATTTTCTTAGTGAAAATATGTTAACATGTCATTTGACCAGGGCTATGCTCAGGTCAAGTGAACCGTAACTGGCTCCAGTCACCCAAGTGGAATATGTTTGGTGTTTACTAAATTACAGTTACTAAAGAGAGCATTTTCTACTTCCATATTCCAGCTGTCTATGGCTCCAGCACTGATGGGAGAGAAACCACTGGCTCTTCATGAGACACCCCCAGCCCAGGAGGACCTTCCCCCCTCTCAGATAGCCCAGGACTCCCTGCTTAACCCCGGACACATTCAGACATCGGCTCAGCAGAGGGAGGAGTCTGCAGGGGCAACAGAATCTGGGCTCCTGGACCCTTACAGTTCCTTCATGGACACCATCTACACTTCCTTCCTGCAGGTGAGTGGGCGTGGCTCTGAGGGAGGAACTGATTCTGCGCCACTTTCATACCCTGAGCTCCCACCCCTCCTGCAGCAGCCCAGCGCTCCGCCTTCCCTCAGCCCACGCAGAGCGTGCTCTGTACACAACCCCGACCTGTCCAGGATCAGCATGGAGACAGCCCAGTCTCCGGCCCGCGGGACACCCAAACTCACCGAGGACCCCTCCACTCCACCACCTAGCAAACCTGCAGGAGCAGATGCATGTCCCGCCGATGCACCCCTGCACCTCACCTTTATGGAGGAGGCCAAGACAGACGGCTCTTCCAAACTGTGCGTCTATAGCAATGGGATCGGTTCAGGGGCCGGAGTAGGAGAAGACAATGATGATGAAGACGATGAAGAGGAAGAAAGGCAGCCACAGGGATACTTGAGCCCCAGAGAGAGAGTGACCAATGATGCAGTGGAAGAAACCATGAGTAACAGAGACGCAGAGCACAGCAGGGTGAGTATTTGTGTAGGAACAATCCTTAGGCAGACTGGCATGGGGGCCTTGGTTGAATGAATGAATGAATGAATTTATTTATTTCTGAAACTAATTAGAATTGGAATAACATGCTTTTGTTCACCTTTATCATTAGTCCTAAGTAAGGGGGTAATGATTTTGATATAGTCTGATATTATGCTGAAATTGAACTCAGTATTGCTGTTAAAACCTGTTGATTTGTTGCCTTTTTTGGAAACCACTGTCCATTATCAAAACTAGGCATTGGGATACATCTTATCAGAGTAAACTGGGATAGGAGAGGAAGTGAGATATGCTATGCACCCACTCACACTCAGATGACAGATTTTTTTTTAAAGTCAGTTATAAATTCTAAGGGGGTATATTTTTTATCAAAAATCCTATTTTAAAATTGAATCAGAAATTACCCTGAAACTGAATCTTTACACCTCTTGTCCTAAGTGAAAATGCAGTTTTGATACCTTCATAAGAGACTGTACTTTTGTTTACACAGTAAATTAGATGTTTTTGCATATTTTTAGTGGTGTAGAGCAACAAGTTAGAGATTTTATTCCAAGCAATTTGGAAGCCGTTCTAATGGTTAATTTATCATGAGTTTCACACAGTGTAAAGGCCAGCAAATGTACACAAATTATGTTGTGTGTGTGTGTGTGTGTGTGTGTGAAGTAATCTCCAAGCACTGATTTGGCTCATCACCTGTTTAATTCATGCATTTAAAATGAGAAGTTTATTGCTAGTTGTTCAAGTAATACTCAGTTTAAACCACCTCCTGATTAGGGCTTTAAAGGACTGCACAGCAAACTTTTTCTTTTTGGTACAGGCCGCAGAAATACGAACAGGTGCCAGAAGGGGCAGAAAGAGAAAGCAAACGTGAGTATAACAGTAATTGAGGAAAATAAAGTCATTAATAAAAGCCTTTCTTTTTTTTTTTTCGTCTGTAACATTTTTGCCATCTCTTTGCGGCAGGCTGCAGAGAGCACCAGAGATTCCAGGAGATATTGACAGCATAATAGAAGAGCCAGCAGCTACGGTGAGTCTCTTACAGAGAAGCGCATCAGAATGACTTTGTGGACAATGCTAATGCTCACATATCATTTATAGATAGATCCTTTGATTGCCAAGGGGAAATTGGGATGTTACAGCAGCAGAAACACGTGACGTTTTGTACACATAATAAATAGATATAAACAGTAACATCAAACAGAAGCATTTACATTTAATAATATGCATGTAAACAACAGCATGTATCATGGTTGATTTTTACTTCAGGGGATGGTTTGCCTGATAGCAGGTGCGCTGTGATTCATTTCTAATCCTGTTTGTTTTGTGTGACACAGATAGCACTGCCGAGGCCAGCGCGGGCTGTGAGAGGGAAAAGGCGGCGCATAGTCAGATAGACGTTCTAATAGAAGCCCTTATTCTACTGTACTTTACCCGCCAACACCAGCACTGTCACTATGGCAACACCACGAGGGCGCGTCACGGTCGACTGCGCTGCACTGTGAGAACCCGCGGAACACAGTCTGTCTCTCCAAAAGCCCAGTTACCTCACTCGTTCTCCTGCCCTCGTCTTTCATTGTTACCATTCTGTTTCTGACATCTGCCTTCTAGTTACACGTTTGTAGTGACAGTGACGTGAACAGTACTAGGTATGGAATTGGCTAGTCAACACTACTACATAGGAATTCACTCCAGCTGACCTTTTAGTATGGAGTAATATGTGCATTCATACATATGAATGTGGCAGTGTGCATATGCATGATCCATCTTCAACAGAAATTGGATGCTTGAAGTTCAAAATGTTTTTCTGTGTTTAATATGGGCCTATAGCACCCTCTATCGCCAGTCATTGTTGCTGCACTCTAGTTTCCTTCCTATTAGCCACTGTGCTGGAGTAGGTTAAGGTTCCATCTAAACTTTGACCAAAACAAAATATTAACTGGCTTCATTTTGTCACTTCTTGTGCGATAATCTTCAGAACCTCACACTTCAGAAAGGACAGAAAGTAGTCAAAGAGCCTCATGAGAGAAATTTCCTTCCCCATACGCAGAAGTGTTGTGTATGTGTGTATGGGAGCAGAGTATGTACTGTATGTGTGTGTAAGTTGCGGGGTCGGAGTCTGATACTGTGATCAGTGGCGGATTCTGCATGTATGGTCAGAGCCATAACTCTACCGCTCCGTTGAGTCCGAAACCCGACTGCCACTTCATCAACGCAGGCACAAGAATATTTAAATAATGGTTTAAAGTAATAATGAGGATGATTATGCAATTTTACTAATGAATTTTATGTAAATATGTACAGTTTTAGTATTTTATTTTGTACACTTTTTTAGGAAAAAAATGATCAATTTGTAAAGTATTTCTTCCTCAGAAAAACTCCTTTCCTTTCCCCATATTTACGTTTGATTTGTAAAGAGAATACTTTGAAAGTTGTGAGCAGTAGCATTTTTTTTTTTTTAAATGGGAGTTGACTTTTTATTTAACAAATTAAAACGTTTACCAAATTCTGAGTATGTCTCTGTGCCGTGTGTTTGTGTGTGTGTATATGCGTGAATAGACAGTTCTATGTAATCACATAGTGAAGTGAAAAGAACAACGCACCATTCTTCAAAGCATGTTAAATTTATTCTCACACCTGGAGACAATTTTAATTTTTATGCATATGTCAAAAAGCTGAATAACCTGTGGAGATCCGTCTCATAATACAGTAATAAGAGTTACAAGCAACTGAGTGTGATAACAGTTTAAGGTACACAGGTGTGTGTAATATATATATATACAGCGTTGTTCATGACTCGATGAGGACATATCCTCCCACAGATGTTGGCCAAAGGCAGTGGTTCTTGTATGCATTTCATTCATGGACACTTTTGAAAACTACCGTTCATAGAAAAGTGAGCTACCATTTAAACACAGACGCTTCCTATTCGGGGACGTTACATTTACAAGCAAAACAGGATCAACTTCAGTCATTCAAAGCCTATTTAAAAAAGGTTTCCACAGATATCATGGGGAGAAAATCTGGAATTGATGCTTTTAAAACTCCACCAGGAGTTAGGAGTGGAATTTAGGCAAATGGTTAAGATACAATGCTAACCACCTCCTCAGAGAAAGAACAGAAAAAGAGGTGCAAAGAGTACTGGTTTTGCTGTAGTGTTACAGGGCATTTGCTCTCAACCTTCAACTACACCTGTTTCCAACTTTATTTCCAACATTCAGCGTTGTGGAAGAAAAGGCTTATGAGGAGAAAAAGCACAAGATTTAAAATGAGGAATTAACCTTTCTGCACATCCCTCCATCGCTTGCCTCTTCATTTCAGAAAGAACCATTTTATTTTGAGAGTTTCTTCATCCTCTGTTCGAGTGCTGCAAAGTTCTCTTCCACTGAGACTAGGTTCTCCTTCATTGTTTGCTGCACCTGTACATGGAGGTGAAGGGAAAAAAGATTTACAGCACAAAACAGAAAAGGGGGTCAACAGGGGACCGAGTAACAAGTTACTAAATACAAAGATAAACATGTACACACCTGTGTGAGCAATGTGCTGTTGTCCTTCAGCGCGTTGTTGATCATCTGCTGCGTGGTATCCAGATGGGTCAGCAGCTGCCCAAATTGCATAGCTGAGAGGAGGGGAAAAAACAAACACATGAACTACATAGTAATATAAAGGGATCGTGTTCAAAACTTCCAACGACAACCACTATTCTAATAAAATATGACGAATGTGACAAATGGACAATCTGCTCTAAACATAATTGTTAAAATCACACCCACAATAAGGCTATTATCAACTTGCTTGTGAGATGAGTTAACATTAAGTCAACATATTTACACAGCTACACCCTCAAAACTACTAATGACACTTGATTTGCCCCTCACAGCCCAAATATTTGTTTTCAAATGATTTTATTTAACACCATCAACAAAAGCAATACTATTTGCTCTTTATGTCTCTTACTGAGATTCAGCTATCTTATACATTCCACATGCTAAATAATCTGTATTATTAAATAATCATAACCAAGACAACAGTCTTTCAGTAAGCATCTATTATGGGTATTTAATATATATGTTTTCATTACACAAAACTGCATTATGATAACCACTTCTCAGAATAGCAGAAATAATGCACAGAAAGTGAGAGAATACCTTGCTCGTGCAGCTCTTTAACGGCTGTCAATCTCTGGACCACTTGAGGGAGGGAGGTTGCCATGGCATCCCATTTCTGCACCACATCATACAGCTGTGACACCTGAATTAGAAACAAACCCAGGCCCGGCAGGCACCAGCATGACAAAGTCAAAGATATTCACTCAGGTAACGTCAGAACAACAATTCAGTACTCAGTTTTTAATTATTTGGTGTGCTTTTAAACACCTCTACAAACAACTGTAAATTTCTATCATTTTTATCACCACAAAGCATTCTGAATACAGGAACAGCTGACACCAACAAAGTGGAGAGAAATAAGTGTAGAGCAGAATATGACATACTTCATTCACTGAGGAGCACATTGGCTACATTTTAGATGAAGCATACTCAAATCCAGAATTTGTTAGATGAACTAATGTTTCATATTTTGGAGAAGGTTAAGTCAATAGTAGTTGCTTTTTGTGTATCTGTAAGCAATTTAGACTAAACCAAAATAACAAACAGCAAAAATACAAAATATCACCTTATAACCTGAGTTATTTCTGTCTATATGAGTTATAACAGCATTATTTGAGCCTCAGATTAGCAAGTGTCCAGTGTCAAGACTTTTCCAAAGTTTAGAAAAATCACTGTGTAAGTGGAGAAGGCATCAGCGTAAAGTCAGCAATATTCTTGCATATCTCAAGTGTGTCACAGGAAACTAATTACCCAAAGGAGCTTTTAGCTGACAGTGAAACACTCATTCCTAGAATCACTGTTTTCATAAAGTATCTTGGGTTCAGAGGTTCTGGATTCTCAGATTAGGTGCAACTAATACTGCAACTATTACAACCTAAATGAAGACTTGACACAGTCTAGTAACTACATGCAAGGTATATTGTGACTGAATACTAATGTGTTTATACTTTACTTTCAAGTCAATTCTAAGTTAACAGCTAAGTGAGGCTATAAAGAAACTGCAAACTGAAGAGAACCGAAACCCACCTTGTTTTGTGTTTCAGCGTCTTCAATCGCAGCCTTGTGCTTTGCTATTTCATTCATCTTCCCCAAAACACTCTGCAACACAAGTGTAAAAGCAAAACTCACTTTGTAATTCAAGGAGCATAGATATATAAACAAAAAAAGGTTGATGCAGGTGTTTCAAGAGATGGCTTCTGTTTAAATCAGCCCACCTATGCCTAATCTGGAATTCACTTGCTCAAGAGAAATGTAGCTACCAATGCGAAAGAAGCTACCAAGACACCATCCCATTCTGATATCTCCATCTCCATCACAGGACGCTTTGCTGGGAAACACGCTGCCACAGTAATGTGGTCCATAATCTTCTAGCAGTTTCTTACTTTCAGTAGGAAAGGTTAAATGCTGAAAGCCCTTGAAGAAGGATATGGCAGTTGCCCACTGAGGTAAATTACTCTCTGTAGTCATGGTTACCTGCAGCCTTGCTTCAACCTGGTCCAAAGTGGCAGCATCCAGAGCACTGACTCGAGCCTCCAGCAGCTCTATAGTCTCCTATACAGAGAGAGAGAATAAGAGAGGGAGGGGGTAGAATGGTCCAAAAGTTGTAAAAATAGAACACAAATACCAAGAATATGGAGGCAAATCTACTTTCACAGAACAGTGAGAGTCAAACAGAACAGTTAAAAGTCACAGCTTCTTACAAATCAGTTGCCGTAGTAGCTCTGAGTACTCACCATTACACTCGCTCCCTGAAGTCCAGCATTGAGAGGACCCTAACAGACAGACAAAACAATAACAATTTGCATACAACTACTGTGCTTATAGTAAACCTTGCTTAGCCATTCCTTCAAGACACAAGGACAAGATTCCAGATAATAGCACAGACATGACCCAAACTGATGAGTGAATACTGGTGCAGAGTAATGCCACTGAGCTTGAAGGCAGACTGAGTACAGTGAGAAGGTAAGCTAACACACCTGCTTATCTGTGCCGGAACCTATAGCGGTCTCCAGGTCTGCCAACCGCCTCTCCAACTCAGCTATCTACTCACAGATAAAGAGAATTAACAACAGTAAAAACATAATTTAATGAAAATTTCAGAGTTAGACCTTCTAAGTTTAAAAAATGTAGTACAATGCTGTCTTACCTTGGCAGATTCAGTAAACCGCTCATGTTCAGGCCGGCTGTGCAGCTCGTACAGCACAACTCCATCTGGCCCTTTGGGTCCTGATCCCTTCCCTTCTCCTCCTGCGCTGCTACGCACCCCCCGTGCCACCTCCAGCTGAGTCATCAACCGCCTATCACACACACACAGTGATGTGATGCAAAAACAATAAAGCAAACAGAAAACTGAACACACTCAGGAGTAATAAAGTCTAATGTGCAAAACAACACATTTGAAAACCGCATCCGTATTTCACGCCACACGCTCAAGTATTACATTTACATATTGCTTGAAAGTATATCATATAATCCTTATTGGTTGGATAATTCATCTGAGTGGTCAGACCATTTGATTTGATCACATGCATGAGGAAAGGCAGTGCCTTTCCTAAATACAGACTGTCCAATTCTAACTTACTATGCCGTGGCCTCAGTACTCACTCAAATTATCATTGCACCCTGTCAGAATTTCATACATCCTCTCATTTGTTCTACCCTGGTGCAATCCTGTTTCATGTACTCCATTTCTTTCACTTCCTTTCCGCCATTCAAAAATTTTCCCTACTCCCTTCTCCCTAATGGCTTAAAACAATGGTCCAAGATCACCATAAAAAGGAAACATCTACCAACAAGCCTCTTCTAACTGTACACCCCTCTCCCCTCCCACTGGTCCTTACTTGGCAAGAGCTCCATCTGGGTCAGCTAGGTTGATATGGGCATTTGGGCCAAGGAGTGAATCCAGGTGGGCTGAGACCAGCTGCTGTTTCAGCTGGGCCGCTCGCTGGGCCAGCACCACCGGCGTAAGGCGCTCCTCTGCACTGCTCTCCTTCACATTTGCCTAGAAGCATGTAGTCACACAGAGGCTGGTTAGCACTGACCACTCATCCACTGCACTCTCTCAAAACACTGTGAAACTTTACAGAGGGGCACAAACTTGTGTAGAAAACTTCAGTCACTGCCTTATGGAGCTCCTGCTTCTTCAGCACTTATTTTTGTAAGTGACTGAAGAACACAGCCACAATGCTCTAAAGACCACTGTAGAACTTTAACAGTTCTAATGAAACTTATTAAGTTTCATACAGGTCTCAATTATATGAGTCGATCGTAACTATTTAACCTTAGTGCCTTTTCCACAGGTGTTTGTATCGCAGCAAGCAGAATGTTGAATGAAAAGCATGTAAAATATATGAAAACCCATTTACTGGTACATGTCATGGGTCTTACAAAAACAGCAAAAGTTTTAACTTCTGACTGGTGCAATAACACCTTTAGAGGGCAGCAATGAGTAAAGTTTGTTTATTTGCACTTGAGTTGTGTCTGTCCTCAGTTGGGAGCTATTAAGTACAGACAGCTAAAGAAGCAAGATGGATAAGCAGCCAATTTGGCCACTTAAACCTTTTACTTTAATTGTGAAATGAACAAAAAAACGACAAATTGTCAATCGCAATTATCTATACGACAGCTGATCAGGGCCTGAAATTCAAAACTGGGGTGGGGGGGTTGCCCCTTTAAATGTTTCACATAGAGGGGATTTATACACTTTGGGGGGATACTACTTACCTTGTCTTGTTCTCTTTGAAAGCTTTTTGAAAGAAGGACACTCCATCTCTTTCATGAATTTAACCAGATGACCAAATTTTGAATTAGCCAATTAATTTCCTCCTCACACTGCAACTGAGCAACTTCAATAGCATTAGTCATCACATTCTTTGCTGGATCTGCTTCACGCTTTCTTTTCAAGGCTGCGCTATGAAAAGCACCAGCTGAAAGTTGACGTTTGTAAAATCGGGCACCGTACATTTTACAAATCAAGCAGCTCATTTTAACGTTGTTAAGTTTGAGCCACTGATATATTCTGAGCCAGTTAGTCTGAAACTTGTCTTTGGACTGCTGCTTCACCTTGCTAATGTTACTGCTACCTGACTGAGGGATCTGAGGATTAATAGTGTTAACGTTGACATCGCTAGCACTGCTGTTTGCACTTGCCCTTTCGGGTTCCGTCGTTTTTTTTTCTTAACGAGTTTCACTTCAGATGATGCAGATTTACATTTTAGTCACCAGTCCATGTTTACATGCCTTCAAGTCCACATCACTGAAACCTTTCTGTAAATGTTAGCGAGAGGTGCTCCAGCAGCAGAAGGTGCTCGCAGGCTCATAGAGGGAGAGAGAGAGCGCCAAGTGTGTTGTCCAGAGCGGAAGTCCCTCAGTCGTCCTGCATTCCACACTGGTGCTAATGTTGACTGAACAGTTCAAGAGTGCTAGCTTTGAAATGACTATGAGTAATATGGGGCTATAGCTTCTCTGACGCATGAACAAATATAAGAAACAGGCAGCCAATGTGAAAGGCAGTGTGTGTGCATGTGCTGAACTCCAACCTGAATGTGTTCCACCTCCTGAGTGAGCTCCTGAATCTCGTTAACAAGCCGCTGGTACTTCTGCTGAGGAGTCTCCTTCACCCCACACCCCTCTGCAAGCTAAACAGAAAGGAGGAAAGAGAACAGAACAATAAGAGGATGGTGTGGTTGAGTCTGGAGAGCTCAAGTGTCATGAGCCTAACAGTAAATACTGGAAGGAGAACTTACAAGCTCATATTCTCCAGACTCATAGCCCACTCTGCGGGTCTTGCTGATGCGGTCCGAGAAGTCTGAGGCCAGACAGGTTACAGTAATGAGACACAGGAAACTTAGCCATTAAATTTCACCTTACAAATTAGATGTGCCAGCCGCTGGTTTTCTCACCGAGGCCCTTAGTGCCGACACGCTTGTCTTTGAACTTGTCATAGGCAGCATTTGGGTTCACCACAATGCGCTCCACACTGTCGCTGCACAGCTCTTCCTATTAAAGCAGTGGGGGGAATCATACAGGGATGGATAAAAATGTGTTAAAAGCTTTTTTTTCGCAACTCAGGGAGGCCATTTTTACACCTGGAATTAAAATGCAAATCAAGTGTGTATATGCTATTTGAGGGCCAAGAGGGACTAGGATGTGTTTGCAATTCTAACTAACATAAAAACACATGCAGGCCAGCTGCTTTTGTTAGCCAAAACACATCAGTAAGAGAATGATGATTTTCCTCACTAAATCCAGACAAACTATAAGCAAACCTCTAAACACAAGGCAACTCTGTCTACTTCAAGAGATGGTAAGGCAGTTTGGATCACATTTGGAACTCTAATACACTTACAACTGGCATTAACTTGTTATTAACTTGTTATTTTTGTTTTTTTAAGCACATACAGCTTGAATTTTAATTCCAGACGTAAAAACGAGTAAAAAAAAAAAAAAAAAAACCAACACATACACACTTTAAAAAAACAATTTGCGCATGCAGTGATTAAGCCCAACTGAATTTTCAGAGAGAGATGTCTCACTGATCATTGAGGTAATGTACACTCCTAAAAAAGATAATTCTTTAAGGGTTCTTCAGTAAAGGGAATGTAAGAGTTTTATATAGAACCATTTCATGCAGAAATGGTTCTTTGCATGGTGAAACACTTTCAGATTGATGGAGAATGTGTATATGTGTATATGGTTCTGTGAAGAACCTTTTTGCAAGTGGTTCTATATAGCACCAAAAAAGGTTCTACTATTGTTACAAGCCTGACAACAATAGCGGAACTCTTTTTGTTGCTATATAGAACCATTTTTCACAATTTAAAGAACCAATTAAGCATGAAATTGCTCTATACAAAACTGATGGTCCTAAATAGAACCATTTCCTTTACTAAAGAACCCTTGAAGAACCAACTTTAAGAGTGTAATTATAAGGTAACAAGGCAAAGTGTGTGGTCTAAGCCTTGGAACAGAAGATTTACTAGAGAAAGGTAAACCTGATCAGGACGCTGGTCACAAATCATGAACTGTAATAATTGCAAAGTCTGATTAGTTGATTTCAACTTCCAATTTCAAAATCATTCACTCACTCTCTCACACACACAAACACAGACATTGTGACAAAGGGACCTGTGGGAAAACTACAAAACTGGATTCTTGGATTTATCAGTCAGCTATGTGTTAATCCTGTAGGGCCAGACGTGATCTTGTAATGGGAACACACGCCGGGGGACAATTTGTTAAACTTTGCGGAACACAGGAGTACAGCCTTTCTAAAACCTGCCCCTAAATTCCTCTAGCCTGCGCTCTTTTAATATCCGGAGTACAATCTATAACCCAAGATAGATAGCAAAACGAGGCCTGAATGATTTGAGCAAAATATCTAATTGCAATTTTTCTGACCAATATTTGTAAATTGTGACCTTTCTGTAAATTAAGTTCCAGGCCTATTTTTTGGAAAGAAAACCAGCATAACTACTTTTCCGGCCTGCTAGTTGTGGTTCTGCTTTTGCCATACACATCACATGGGTGTTTGGTTGCTTCTGATTGGTCTGACTCATCTATGGGCAGTTCCCCCTTAAAACTTAAGACAGCACAGTTAATAATGTATGCTATCATTAGAATGGCAGCTTTTGCAAGTTAAAAACTGCACTCTTTCAAAGTAAAAATATATACATTTTTCAGTCCTAAGCACAACAGTACTGTTAGCTAACGGAACTGTTTTTCCCTAGCAGGAGGTAATGTTTATTTTTAGCGCATGTATTGTATTCTCCACATGCAACACAAATCTCCATGCTTATTTGGAGTTTTCAGGCAGGACTTCTCAGCCATGCTAACTTACGTTACATCCATTGGCTAATGGCAGGGTTGTTGTCTATTGGACAATGTTCATGAGTGCTCCATTGCCCCTTACTAGTGGGCTTAATGAATCCAGTTTCATACATTCCACTAATAACAGCCACCAGTATGAATCACACAAACAAATTTAGGGCTCGGAATGAAATGGTTTTTGTGAAATCACCGGTGTACTACATGAAGACACAGACTGCACGGATGTTATGGGCTTTAGCCTTGCTCTCACTTAGTTACAGGGTAAAACAGCCTTTAAAGCTAATTCACTACAAGAGACGACTACAGATGCAGAAAGAGCTATGCACTATGGTGCGCAGGTTAGCACTCATTTCATAAAATGAGGAAGTTTTGAAATGTGGGTGCAAACAGTCTCACAACAGGCCAGAAAAGCAGTACATAACTGATAGAAAGATGCACTGAAAGCAAAAAACACTTGTACATAGTCATTTCGAGAAAAACAAGAAGGTTGATTTTGATTAGACTGTGAGGAGTGGTTAGATGTTAGGGGGAATCACTCAGGCTCTTACCAGCTCCTTGGGTTCCCAAAGACAGTTAGAGAAAAAAGAGCAAAGAAGGAGAAAAGATAGAAAGAAAAAGACATACAAGGGGGAAGGGAGAAAAGAATAAGGAGAGAGAGAGAAAAAAAGAGAGAGATAGATATTAATGTGGTTATCACATGACATGCACAACAGGAGCTGGTGACAGAGAGAAAGAGAGGGCTGCTTGTTGTAAGCATCACTGCTGTTAACTATTCATCTATTCATCGTGTGGCCTTTCTCCCCTCTCCCACCCCCACAGCGCAAAGAGGCATTAGTTCTAGCTCCAGTAACTTCTCACACCACAGAAAAGATGTGTTTGAGATTACATTGCAGCAGGGTTTCTCAACTCTGGTCCCAGATTACCGCTGCCCTGCATATATTCCCCTCTAACACACCCACTTCAACTCAAGAAGGGTTTGTTAATTGGGCTATTATTCATACATCAGGACCAGGGTTGGGAACCACTCTGTTAAAGTATGCCACATATGCTTATGAGTTTAACACAGCAAGATTTCTCAATAAGTTGGACAACATAAGCCAAAAGTGAGAGCTGAACATCCCTGGCCTCTCCTATTGGCCAAGATTGACTTTGGGCTTAAAGGCGGGGTCATCAATTTTAGCTGAAGCTAGTTATGTTGAAACAGCCAAACAAATACAGCACCTAAAAGCCTCACCAGTAAAATGCATGCATGTGTGCTTCCTAGTGTAGAATGCCTCAGTGCTGATGCACACCGGGTTTGTAATTTATTGTCACAAATAAAATGATGAACAGACATCAATACAGCCAACTAACATCAGCTAACACTACAGCTAGGTGGACCGTTGTAGGACCAATTCCCTTGAAGCCCAGAGCCTACTTTGGTACCTTGATGTGCTATGCAAAATAATTACCTGTCAAGCAGATATAGAGCAATGTCAGCATCTTCATGCTCTTCAACTACCTTAATGGTAGAAAGCTACACCAAATGTTCTTGTCTTTGCTCTAGATTGGACATTTTAGAATTGAACATCAGAATTGATGTTATTTTCTCAATGGGTTTTATTTGTAACGTGTTAGCTATAAGGCTGCACTATGTGCTGTAGGAAAAAAATGATTTACGAGCAATAAATGCAGAGTCTTGTCCTCCTTCTTGTTGGACACTGTATTTTGTCCCCTGAGGATATATTTTGGCAGCTCCTGGAACATGAGGAGGATTTCGCCAAATACTACAATAAGTGACTGGGGGAGAAAAAAAAATTGATGACCCGACCTTTAAGACATCCAGCTAACTGAGAAATGCTACTTTGTGAAACACCTCACAGGCCTGCAAAGCTCAGAGAACAACCCAAATACAGGCTTCAGAGAACACAGTAAGTCGTAGGCCGGTCCGAGTTAGAAGGAGAGCAGTGGAGCCTCATGTATAGTTAAATGCAGGCTAGGCAACAGGAGACTTGATGCTAGTCACAGACTTTAACAGCTGTGCAAGTGAGACTCTGTCTCCGCGCCTGAAAGAGAAGGATGAAAGGGCTGAAGCGTCTTCTCCTTCAGATCAGAGAAACAGCAGGTGCTACACATATGGAGCTTGCACTGAAGGCATGTGGCAGTTAGTGAAAAATCATACACATTAACTCATACACACACTCATACTTCCTTATTTCCTTTATTCATTTCCTCACATTTGCTCTCACTAAAAGCATTGTGCCACTGATTAAAACTACAGACAGCATGGTGTCTACACCTACCATGGGATGATACCTATAAATAATCTTAGCTCTAAATGACTAACTCTACATCAAATAAGTGTTAAAAATAATTTAAGCATGGCTGGCAAATGGGTTGTCCTCCAGTCATATCCACATGTGCACATTATCTAGCTAAAGTGCTTATAAATGCTTTTCCATCAAACAGTGTGGTTTGGAATAGTATGCCTATATATAGGTAATCACATATTATGCTGTCATTTCCATTGCCCAGTGTTCTGTACCTTACCTGAGCACCTGTGCTGAATTTGGTTACCCTTCCTACCAAACAAGAACATAGGGGTGGAGCTAGAAACACCACAGACCAATGAACGGTCAAATGCAAACCACACAGAATCACCTAGCACTGTCACTCAGGTCATACAATCTGTTCCCATAAAACCAAATGCTGGAAATAAATCAGAAGATCCCATATTGTTGTTACTGTTTTTGTGTAGTTCTAAAAGGAAAATAACAACATTTTTTCATATGTACTCATAGTTCAATCTTTAAAAAGTAAACACTTCATTAGGAGTTTTTCTATGTGAAAAGCTGCTTTATATGTTTAATATATTTACACCGTATACATCATTATCCCTGATTTTTGTCATCACTATTGTAAAAATACATATATATTTTTATTTTATATATTATTTCTAATTCGAATTTGTAACCGTAACAAGGCCACACTGTCCAGTGGAAAAGTGTCGTATAAGATATGTACAATGAGAACTACAATCAAGGACATCAGAACAAATCAAAAAGGTGATCAAATTAGAGAAAAGAGTCAGACAGCTCCATATCTCTACGAATCTACGATTGTTTCCCGATTGAAACACAGGAGAGAAGGAATATGATTACAACCCATGCAGTCACTTTTGGCAGAAAAGGAGGACCTCTTACTTGCACGAACTACAGTCCAGGGCGGATCAGAGCAAGGAGGGTGGGTGTTGTGACAGGGGAGGGAAAGTACTTATTAGGTTAAGTGTGTGTCAGGCATAAGCACACCTTCAATACAACAGCTTAAAGGACAACCCTGTATGTTTAGCTTTTGACCACTCACCGACTCAAACTGCGCTTGGTCATCCTCGGGCAAGTCGCTGGTTTCATAGACGTCAGGCTCGTTAAAGGCCTGTTGGGAGATGATGTCATTCTGTTAGTAAATAAACCTCTCTCTCCAAGGGCTTAAGAATGGAGAGATACCATGCAATAGAAGTTGTGTGTCTCCCAAAAGGAGAAAAGCGAATCCTGAAGCACATATCAGTGCTGATGAAGTTGCTGACCTCCGTGGCCGCCGCCCTTTATAGAGTCGCTTCCACAACACTGGCTGCCAACATGGCAACTAACGTTACTGGCCCAACATGACTCCACATATGTTCGTGATATTTTAGCAATAAACTCGTAGTGAAGAGCTTTTTACACACCAGGTTTAGCTAATAAGCTGCTTGACTAGACGTTTCTCCTGATCCAGCTAGCGCCTCCAACACTGCCAAAACAATAACCTAGCTAGCATGCTGGTTAGCTCATGTCTACACCAATCAATTCGCAATTATGTCCAGGAATATGATTTCTTTTTGCACAAAACATTATATTACGTTCATAAGACATGTTTAACCCACTATCTTGTCGTCATATTAGCTGCTGAAAATGATGACAGATGCTAACCGGCTTTTCTGGGTGGAGTGATGATGGGCAGCTAGCCGACAGGCTAACTAACGTTAACGTTAACGTTAACCTACACAGCTAACTTTATCGGCTATTATCACTGTTTTGCCAAATAACGTTTGCAAAGCAATAGTCAGATGATAAGTATCAGCCTAAGTGTCCTAACAATAGCGCAGCATAAAAAAAGAAAATCTGAATTTAGGCGTGTAGGAAGCTAACAGTTCGTTCAGCCATGTAGCCGCTAACGCTACACGAAACGGGACCCTGTTAGCATTAAGCTAACAAGCTGGTTTTGAATTATAAAGACTTACGATGCCTGGCAAGTTGGCGTACTTCGGGTCTGCCATCGTCACAAGGAGACTAAATCGGAATTCTTAAAATATTTGATGATCTCTTCAATGATTTCCAGACTTTAAAAGACGTCAATTGTTGCAGAGAGCGAGCTGCCTCCGTGACTCGCTGACAGCAGCGTCAAACCCGCTGGAGTCTCGCGTGAAGTGAACTGCAGCCAAAGCCCAGTTCAGCTCAACCACCACCGTCCACCTCACTGACTGTTCACAATCACTGTTCACTAACACTGCCCAGCTCGAATTAACCGTTCATAAACACTGCGCATCTTAATGTAACCAACACATATATTCCCAGTTTAATCTAACTGTTCACAGACGCTGCCCAGTTTCATCAGCTGTTTACAAGCGCTGGTTTAAAGGGGAATTCAACCAATTTTTTAAAAATTTCTGACTAGGCTGAAGTTGGCTTTTTGTTCAGTTGTTTCCGTTCACCTTAAGTGCTGTAGAAGGGGCCTGCATGTAAGTACGGCCCCATTTAAGGTGGAACGGAAATTTCGAATAAGAAGTTGGCGAAAAAAAGCCTACTTCAGCTTCATACATTTCTGCATAATTATATTGTTAATATATAAACAGACTTATTCAGAGTGGTTTGAAACTTGATGCCTCTAAAAGCTACATCATACAAAGTTATTACAGTAAAGCAGGGGTGCACAACTCCTGTCCTGGAGGGCTGGTATCCGGCAGAGTCTGGTGGTTCCCCTGCTCAAACATACCCACTAAACTGGCCATTAACAGATGAGTGTAATCAGGTGTGCTTGAGAAGGTAAATTACTAAACTGTGCTGGACACAGCCCTCCAGGACTGAAAAATGGGTGTGCACCCCTGCAGTAAGGGTTCAGTCCCTGTTGAATATGATGCTGATGACTGGAACAATAGCTTTGAGAAGGTTTGGCCTAAAATGTATTTTTAAAAATTCATTAAAGATGGCTGTGCATGACATGCTAAGGTAAAACAGCCTGTAAAGAAAGCTCTTTTTCCTGAGACTTACTACTGTTTTACCATTATTAGCTTTACATATTTACAAAAGAACTGGTGGTTTTGAATAGTGAATAAACTGTGACTGTATTTGCACTTTAGGCGTTGCAACCCATAGTTTCTATCACCACCAAAGAAATGTTTAAGTTGGTAAGTTTTTCTACAATGAAATGCATTTCACACTAAACCACTCTGAATGAATTTGTTTACAAAATTTGAACTATTAAGAATTTTTGCAAGCAGAATTCCTCATTTAACCAAAACTATGCACACGCTCCACCTAGTTTTATCTAACTGTTCTTGCACAAAACCTGGATGACTGCACTGATTGGTGATAGTCGCCTCTCGCAGATGTAGGCTACTGAACACAAAACAGCAATTAAATGAATAGAATCAGTTTGCAGGCCAGTAAAACACAATAATTACGCTACCATTCAAACTGTTTGGAATAACAGTTCAAAAGTTTGAAATCACATTTCTCATTAACATAAAACCAATGTTGTTGCAGTGCAGGCAAAAATGTTTCTACAACTTGTAAGAGAATCTACAACTATTAAGATGCTACAGCTTTATACACAATTTTAATAACTGATGGTTCTTCAAGAGTTCTATAGTAAAGGAAATGGTTCTGTATAGAACCTTAAACACTCCTTTCATGATTAAAGGGTTCTTTGCATCGTGAAAGTGTTCTTCAGATTAAAGGAGAATGTGCTGTAGATGGATCTATATACAACCTTTTTGAAAATGGTTGTCTATGGCACCAAAAAGGGTTCTGCTACTCTTAACATGTCAGGCTTGTTACAATAGAACTATATGCAACACATTCTCCATTAATCTGAAGAACGCTTCAATCATGCAAAGTGTTCTTTGAGTGTTCAAGGTTCTATATAGATATATATTTTAACTAAAGAGCCAATGAAGAACTATCTTTTTTAAGAGTGGTACTATGTGCTGCATTTTGGAATGGGGTAATACATGACTGTGGTGATACGACACACATAGACCCCAAATGTTAAAGCCACTGTCATATTCAATTTTACACTAAACGTCCTTTTAACAGTGCATTTCTTTTTGGAAAAATACACCATAGAGCATCATCAGCATCAACGTTTTTAAAAATCCTCTGTTACCTGCCTTGAATACTTGAATCCACCCTATTTAAGATAAGGGTCTATTCCATGAGTATGAAGTTGTACTTAAGCATATAGAGTCCAATCTATTTTCCTTTTTAGTTCAGCTCCAACATGCCTCATTTACCACGTCAGGTGTGTTAGATAAGCTCTCTGTGATCAGTCTTGCTGACCATCGCTCTATCCTGCCACCTGCCAGGCTTTTGTTTTCCTCGGTCTTGTTTTCACATTAGATGCTTCAGCATGAGTGGTCCTGATGCGAGCATCACGGTGACGCCACAGGGCCGCTCCCTAAGCCACGCCCCCTCGCCGATAAAGGCCAGTCAGCGTGGAGCTGGGCCGAGCGCGTGCGTCCGGACTGCTGCAGCATCGCACACCTCACACACCGCTCTGCAGACTGGAATAAGCACAACCGCAGAGCTGCCAGCACCAAGACCCGCTTTAATGACAGGTGAACAGCGCAAGCACTGACCAGACAGTCCGCTAAACTTGCGCTTCTTTCACAGAGAGGTGTTTTGCGCGTTGGATGCTGGAAGGCTCATGAACTGCGCATCTCTCGTCCAAGCAACTCCTACGTCGCCTGGCTATTTCGAAGTCTGCTTTCAGATCACCATCTACCAGCACTTTTGCACGCCGAGCAACGCTCGGACACGGCGAAGAAAGCGAGCGTGGTCAAGCAGTTGAGCTACTTTTCCAAACGTAGCGCAGCGCACAATGGCTGAGCCTGGCGCAGAATGCAACATCAAGGTGCTGTGCCGGTTTCGTCCCTTGAATCAGTCAGAAATTCTTCGCCGAGACAGATTCCTCCCCGTTTTCCAGGGAGATGACACTGTCATCCTCGGGGTGAGTGCAAGGCATTATCTGACTTTTAAGATTTTTTTTTTAATCTAAGAGGATTTCTCTAAGGGTTTATGGATAAAGTGACGCAGAGAGGCTCGCTAATCTCTCCCTTAAGAAGTTGCCTACAATCAATAAAAGGCTGTAAGTCGTGTGTGTATATATATATGTATAGATAGATAGATAGATAGATAGATACATACATATGTATATATAAGCATAATTATTTTACTCTGTTGTTATAAATAGGACTGATGTTTCTCAAGGGCCACATTGCTTCAGATTGCAGGAATGTGTTTATTATGAATTCTGAAAGCGTGAAATATATTAGTAAGGCATTAGAGTAGCACCATATCTGGCTCTAAGGTGGGCTGGGTTAGCCCTACCTAAGCAATTCTAAGCAGCAAGAAGATGCTGGGAGTGTGATAAACAGCAAATGGATCAAATTGTCTCACACTGATTGCCCACTTTGACACAGCAGGCCTTATTGCCAGCACTTTGGGCCAATTTGCAGTGGCAAGTCAGAGCTGAAGTCCATTTCGTTGTCATATCCATTGTACAGCACAAATGAAACAGAGATTCATCAGGATACAGTGTTATTTAACAGTGACTGACAATAGCTGTAGATGAGCAGTACTGAAGGTAAAAGTGAGATGCACATAAACAGTGCAAATACTGTGTCTATTGTGGAGTGGAGATGAGGGTGTGGATGGGCGGGTCTGGCTTTGTTTTGTGTTAGGGGTGTGTAGCCTGTTTATCTGTGAAGTTCACTCAGTGAATGCTCATCTCAGACAATGTGTATCACCATTTTTGTCGTTTTTCAGCTTTTGACATAATTTGAAAATGCCTGTTGGCCTTTACATTGTGTGTAAATTTCATGAAGAATGGACAAAAAAAATACTTGGAAAAAAAGCCTGGTAACATTGACTTTTATTAAAAGTAAAGTATGTTTTTTCCTTCTCCCATAAAGTTAACATTTTGGAGGTTTTGCTCTGACAACAGTGATGTAATAGGGAATAATGTGAAAGCAGGTGCTGTAAATATCATGGATGCCTTCATTATATTTATCTCTGAAAAAGATATGAGTGTCGCATCATCTCTGGCTATGTGTACAGCTCTCTTAGGAACAGATGCACACACATACATGCCCAGTATTTGCACAGCTAGGCTTAAGAATGATGTAAGAGCAGCACCCAATGCACTACTACACAACAGTGTCTCTGTGTTGCAGTGGCAAATACCATTAGTGTCCAAACTAACCTGAACTTCTGTGACATGCATGTCAGAATTTCAGTTTAGGGAGGCCAAGGTTACAGGTTGAGGGGACAGCTTGCAAGCATTAAACCAGAATTTCACTGATTTTTCTGCATATTTCAATCACTGAGATGTAAACATAGTCATCAGAGTGCTATGATGAGAAATGGTGCATTGTAGAGACTTGAATATCTTTACAGTGGTGGTGATAAGAACCAGAGGTCTGACATGATGTCTACAACAAATATAGGCATTTTATATACTATCCAAAATGACAAGTCATCCTACGTGTCTCCTGTGTTTTTGTATGTTGATAATGGTAAGATAGTTTGAAAAGTCTGTGGGGACTATTTTGACTTACAACACAACACATGTACCTCTCTGTCATGAATGTATGTGAAAAAAAAAAGTTTAGGCCAAAACTTTGATCACAACCATAATCATAAAACTAAGTCTAATGCATCATAACCATTTCATGTAATAGCTTTCTATCATGTGGCTTTTAGAGACGTTAAACTCTTCAGATGTCTGGTTCCTATCACCACCACTATAAACAATTTTGGCTCAATAAGTTTCTCTAGAACTGAGCATTTCATACCAAACCACTCTGATGGACATTGTTTACATTGTAGCTATTTTATTATGCATAATTTTTTAAAAATGGTTCCTGCTTTAAGACCCAGAGACATCACTATAGTGAACATGACAACCAGCCAACTTTACTACAGCTACATCATTAAAACATTACCCACCCATTACTATAATCAGAGTTAGGGGTTGGCAACATGGCAAGATTTTATTTTATTGTAATAAAACAATTTATAAAAGGATATTTATTGCAATTTTTATTGCGACAAGTATGCTTTTCTGAGCTTGATGTGGATTTTGTCAGTACTTCAAAGCACACTAAATATCTGCATGTTTGATCACAACGAGAGAATTAGTAGTCCTGTTTAACTGCATTTAGGACAGAGCACTAAATCAGACGTTGAATAAAAATCATTGCCTCATTTGATAATGTTTTGTTTGAACCTGTGTTTCATGAAAATGTCTTCAAGTATTGCGATTTTATATATTTGCCATAGTGCCACCCTTAATCAAAGGGGAAACGTTAAACACAACACATGATTGCTTACCTCACATATAGCTGGCTAACGTTAGTCACTGTAACAACAAGTTCTATCATTGCAGAACTAATAGTAGAGGTCTAGGGTGAATGGTTGAAGATCGTGATATTTGCTTTTTCACTGTATTAAACTTTTTACCATGATCAACCACTACTGCTCGCTAGCTAGGTAAGTAGTCTATGGGATGTAGCTCATCTGAGCTAAGTTATCACAGTGTAATATTTTCATCGGCGCCATTTTTTTTACCTTCAGAAATCCTGGGGGTTCCAAGTCAGTCAGCTACGCCCCCTCAGGCCCCCGGTAGCTACATTCCTGCTACATATACTAAAGTGCACACGTTGTTGATTAACTTCAGTTGTTGTGGATGGCTGTGTGTGTGGAGAAGCATTAGAATGTGTGTGTGTGTGTGTGTGTGTGAGAGAGCGAGAAAGGGGGAGAGAGAGAGTAGGCCTCTATTGATCTGCAGTGAGACAGAAGAACTGACACAACACCTAGAGACTGGTTTGTAGTGACAAGCTCTTAATAATTCTATCTCCTCTCTCTCTCTCTCTCTCTCTCTTCCTCCTCTGCAATTTCTGTTTGGTCTCCTGATCTCCAAGGGTAGATAGGTTTTTCATTAGTGTCACTATGAAGATGCATGTGCGTGCAGTGCTCTTCCATGAGCCATTAAGCTCACATACAACTGCGTGGTCTTTGGTTCATCCAGCCATGCTGAATCAATTCCCTTTGTTAACAAGGGGACCAATATGGCTGTCTGATTAGATTAAATCCAGTGACATCACAGCAGGCAGGGTTTAAAAAACTCTCTTCTTCCATTCATACCCTCATGAATAAGTTTCTGCAGTGTGTCTTTCTTTGATGATGTATAATTTTCACTGATCCTATACTGCAGGGAGTGCTGTTCTCCAATTAGTTTTGCAGATCGGAGCATATGGTTGGTAGTAAATAAGTGCAGAGATCAGCTGCCCCAAGGTCAGCACTGCTGCTGTGAGAGCAGGGCTGCAGATGTTAGTGGTCATGCTGTGGCCTGTGGGGAGGGTGTGTGTGTGTGTTAACACAAGCCAGGCGAGAGGTCTCTTGTTTCTCTGTGACAGTCGAGAAGAGGTGCCAGTCACGGTTCAGCACGAACCCCTACCTCCTCCTCTTCCTCCACACAACCAGCTCACAAGTGTGAGTCACATCACTCCCACAGCAAAGAATGAATCAGATGAACTTGACTGTAGGTTTATGTGACTGCTGTTCACATCCATCCATCCATCCATCCATCCATCCATCTAAGCATTCATCTGACCCTCCGTTCATGCGTTCATCCATCCAGCTTTCTGTCCATTCATCCAACCATCAGTCAGTCTGCCAATCCATCCATCTTTCAAACCAACAATTCATCTGTCTGTCTGTCCATCCATCCATCCATCCATCCGTTAAACTGTCCATCTGTCTGTTTGTCCATCCATCCATCCATCTATCCATCCCTCCATCCATCTGTCCATTTATTTGTCCATTCATGTCCATCCATACGTCAATACATCCACCCATCCTTTCATCCTTGCATCCATTCATCCATCCACACGTCCATCCATCCATCCATGTGTCCATCCTTTCATGCATTCATCCATCTGTCCTTCTGTCCATTTATCCATCCATCCATATGACCATCCATTCATGCATTCTTCTCTCTGTCCTTTTGTCCATTCGTCCAACCATTAATCAGTCCACCCATCCATCCTTCAGTCAAACTACCATCCCTTCATCCATCCATCTGTGCATCCATTTGTCTATTTGTGTCCATCCATCAAAGCATCCATCCATTCATCCTTGCATCAATTCATCCATCCACCATCTATCCATCCATTCATTCCATTCGGTTCATCCATCCTTCTGTCCATTCATCCAACTATTAGCAATTAGTCATCCATCCATGAATCCATTCATCCACTTATACATCTGGGTCCATCCATCCATCTGTCCATCCAGGTCCATCATTTCATCTGTCTATCCATCCATCCATCCATGCATCCATTTGCTCTAAAAACACACTCTGTTGGTCATATTTCAGCTGAAGAGGCACTTTTATTGAAACACTCTTCTAAAGAAAATGTTCAGTAGTAAAACAGAAACTACTGCCAGACTTTATAATTACCCCTCTCTCTCTCTCTCTCTCTCTCTCTCTCTCTCTCTCTCTCTCTCATCCTTTCTTTAACTTTACAAATATGTATTAATAAAGGCCATTGGAAAGGTCCAACAAAACAAATGAGACTCTGTAAATAAATAAATGTGCTCTGCGCTGCGTACACTGTGTTCACAAAAGAGAAGTGCCGCCATGAGAACTGAGCCGTGCAGCCGATGACTATTCACACAGAGCTGAGAATGAGCAGCGGCCTTGGCTCCTGTGTGAGCGAGGGCAGAGAAAGAGAAGAGGAGAAGAGGCTGTGGAAATGAAAGAATCTCCTGAGACTGAAGGATATGTAATAAAGCTGGGCCAGACAGAGAGAGATCAGTACAGAGATAAGATTTTAAAGGCAGATTGGGGGAGATAAAGGGTTTGTTTTGAGAAAGAGAGAGAGAGAGAGAGAGAGAGAAGAGAGAAAGATTGGGAGTGTGAAGGGGGGTGAGAAAGAAAGGGCA